ATATTCCTCTCCTGCTGAGTTGATTCTGGTTCCATAAAGAAAATTTACTTGGGATCATTATTAGAGTATTTTCTTCATTTTAGAAATAGCACACATTGAAAATTAATATTGATATTAATAACATTAAAATTATACTTTTAATATCAGAATTTTCAAATTTAAAAATGCTGAAAAAAACAGCAGTGCTATAATTTTTAATAAATGCTGATGATTAACCTTCTTTTTTTTATGGTTACCTTTTTCTTTGTTTACTTGATGTGCAGAATTAGGGAAATCATTAATGGTAATAATGATGGGGAGGGACAGTGCTGGAGAGAGGCAGATAGTGTCCGCCTTGGACTCAATTTCCAGAGCCTGGTAGAATGGCCTTTCTATCAAATTGCATTTCTGATTTGAAAGCCCATTACTTTATATTTAAAACAGGAAGTTACGATATTGCTGCCTGTCTAGATGATTCTTTAGCTTGACCTTTATTGTGTTTGATTTTGTGATTTCACCTTTTTTTCCCCTTTTTCAGAAAAACTTTTGGGTGTATATAGGAGAGAATTCCTTCCCGTGTTTTAGGGAGTGGTATTAAAATACATTTATTTTGCTCAGTAGTTCCGTTCCATATTTCCTACAGATAAAGACCCTTTCTGTGTGATTGTGAGATTTTGAGTTTGAGTGTGCTTTCTCTAATGGTATTTGACATGAAAAACTTCATAAAATTCATGAAGCTACTTAATACACAGGTCTGTGAAGCACATTAGTTTGTCAGTTATTTTATACACTCGTTTACTAGTATGAACAGGTAGTGGGTGTTTCTCCTTTGTAAACTATTTTGTACATTATTAGATATGGATGAAATCTAGAATTTTTGCTTATAGGGATGCTATTTTAGGGACTTCTTATAGAATGATAAAATTGTATTGCTGAAGGAAATGTTCATATTATTACTTAATCTGGTTTTGTCATTTTATGGAAACAGGCCCAGAGAGGGAAGATGACTTGTCTAAGATCTAAGAATTAGAGATTTGTGCATAACTGCTGGGATACTTGCTCTTTGATCTTTGCTCAAATTCCAGCCCATACTTGCTCAGTCCTAACTTTGAGCTTCTTTAGAGATTAGGTCCGAATCTCTCATCCTTACATCTTGGACAAGGCGGCAACAGTCACTTACAAAACTTCGTGTGAAATCTCTAGATCTTAAATGTCTGTGACAAATTTTAAGAAATTGTGTGTCAAGCAAAATACTTTAGAGGCCAATGGGCCACATGTTTTGGATATCAAGATATTTCACACAAAATTTGTTTTCTAGCTTCTTTTCAAAAATCAGAATTGGGAGGATGTATTCATGAGTGACTGCTGCCCCCTTTGGTTTGGACTCGTTCCTTCAGGTTCATTACATGGTCATCAATAACCACTTCCTTGGTTCCTACTTTGTTTTGTCTGGACTGTAAGCATTTGAATTTTTAGTGTTATAAGAAAACTTAATACTTTGCTATCAGTCACCACCTACATGTGTTTCTATCTGTGCTAGAACTTATTAAAAGCCTTTTTTCCATAGCCTCCATTTTGGAGGGGGGGATTTCAACTGGTGCCTAGACTAGCAAGGATTTGTTTATAACACAGTCTGTGCAGATGAGGAGAATACAAAGGGTGGATAATTTCAGCTTGTCAGCTTGAATATGTTATATTTATACAAATAACAGGCTTTTGAGTTTTCCTAGATTACATCTGTTTACAAAAGGCTGTAATCAAGGTTTAGCAGCATATTTTCAGGAATTCTTTGGTGCATATTTTCCCAAAAGATATTACCAGGACAGTTTCATGACACTAATAATAGTTTTATAGAAATGATTTGTCATATTGTTTTTAATGGCCTGCCACCTGCTTTTAAAATCTTTTTGAATCTGCCTATTCCTAAGCAGGTAATAATATTCTATTATTGTTGATACTTGGAGATGTAATCTTCAAATAATTAAATGATTCAAACATTGTTGTAGCGATGTTTACAGGAGGATGTTTTTCATACTGTGACAGGCAGTCACATTTTTAGGTTAGTAAGATTGTGTACATCTAGGGATTGGTATTCAGAGCTTGATTTATATTCTCTATATTGAAAAGGTATGAGCAAAGAGTTTTTTTTTCCTTTGTGAATTTTGCAATTTTAATTTCATTTGGAATGCTCTAAGGAGGTGTGTTCATTATAATTTTTGGTTGCAGCCCCAAACTGCAAACTGACCTAGGAAAAAAAGGGGTAAGTGCAGCTTTAGGCAGTTCTGACACGAGTGACATCATTTAGCTGACTTGCTTACCTTACTCCCTTTTCAGGTCCGCCTCATTCTATGCTGTCTCCATCTTCAGACAAGGCTTCCCTTCCTGGTGGCAAGATGGCTGCCGAGAGCTCTGCGTTTGCATTCTGGCCTCTCGGCAACACTTCCAAGAAAATATATTTGTTCCCAGTAGTTTCAACAGAAGCCTTATTTTAGACCCTCATTTCCTCTGATTGCCTTGGCTTAGGTTATGTGTCCTATTCATGAACAGACCCTGTGACCAGGAGGGTGTATGAGACCATAATTGGCCAGGCCCACACCCATGCTCATCTTCGGAGTTTGAGGTTGCTCATCCCGGCCCAAACCACGTGGACTGAGTGGGAGCAATTGGTCCCCTAGGACCAATCAAGGCACTGTTGAAGAAGGGTATAGAAGGCCTTTACCTGTACAGGATTGTAAAAATACTTCCCTATATATTCCCTAAATACTTGTTATTATTGCTGTTACCATTATTAGTTTACCATTTAGCCCTTCAAACCATCTGGATTTAACATGTAAATTATAACTTAATTGTGTGTGTGTGTGTGTAGTGTGTGTGTGTGTGTGTGTGTGTACAGGTTAAAAGTAATGCAGGAGAAGAGGAGGGGCACATAGGTTCCTCAGGAGGCATTGCTGGGCCATCTTGCTAATTGGGATAGGTAAGGACATCCGGAATTGGGGTATTTACCTAGACTATGTGCAGTGTTTGACTAGGCCATTCAGCCCGATTTCTGTCTTTGTATGTGGCTCAGGCTATAGGTGAGGCTATTCCTTTATACTTCTTTCAAGTCCTTTATGACTTAGATATTAAGATTAGTCTTAAAAGAAATACAGATTCAAAATTATTGTTCTAGTTGGTCCTCAAACTCAGTGGATGACAGAACCCCCAGAAGTTATGGCATTCTTTCTGCAACATCCTGAAATCTTGAAAGAGGAGAACATTTAATATGACTTTTTGTCAATTTCAAGATGTGCTCATGTTTTTTAAACCTTAGGTGGTTGCTACATATCTTGTCTACACATGCCTATTATATAAGGAATTGGATTTAACATGGAATTATATAATTAGTTATTTTAAGATGACCCACTCTAATGAGTCATAACAAAAAATTGAATTATGTTTAATTTATTCTACTTAAGAAGGCAGCAAATTATTTAATAAACACTATTATTTTACCTTTCATTGAGAGAGTATTATTTGAGAAGCACATTAAAAATCATGTGGTCTTGGAAAAAAAGAACCTATGAAGTGACTATAATTATCTTCATTCTATAGGTAAAGAAATAAAAGACAAAAAGGCTGAGTATATTACATTTTAGAAAGAATATTCTTATGTAGAGTGGTTTATTTCCTTATGATTCTGAATAATAATGACATACAGGGTGATCTTTTTACTACCACAACCATTGGATGAATTATATTTAGATTACTCTGGTAATCTAGATTAGGGATTTTTTAGATATTAGGTTTTTTTAGGTAATCTAGGTTACCAGGGTAATCTAAATATAATTCTGGTACTGGTTGTTCTCCTGGCTTATTATTTTTTCTTTTTTTTATGGACAGAACAGTATAAACATATGCAGGCTTATTTTTAGTAAAATAGTTAAGAATTGGGACTTTGATTAAGTGTCATTATATAGTATTAAGCGTCATTAATAATTCAGAAATTTGGAGACTTTGTTAAAATGATTGTTTATTTATTGTCAGATTACTGATGGGATGTGAGTAATTTCAGAACTCATTTGGTACCATATCTAACTAGTACCAATTGAGTGTTTTTTATCTGAAGTGCGTGGGATCAGAAGTATTTTGGCTTTTGGATTTTTGCAGCTACTTTAACTGTTTGAGCATCCCCAATTCAAAAATTGGAAATCTGAAAACCTTCAACGCTTTCTTTGAGCATCATGTTGATGCTCACAAAATTTTGGATTTTGGAGCATTTCAGATTTCAGAGCATTGTGGATTTTGGATTAGGGATCTTCAACCTGTACTTTGAGAGGATTTCAAATCATGAGAAGGGTCCTTATTGTGAAGGCCAGTCTTTCACATGTTCACCCAGTTTTTTGACTGCCTGGCACAATGCTAGGCATTGAAGATTTGATGGTGAACCAGAAACTTCCTAGTCTAGATGGCAGGGAGTGGGAATGGTGTTGGTAAACTCATAAATGAACACTTGCAATACAGTATGTTAGGCAACACAATCTTTTAGGTGTTGTGAAAAGGACCTAAGTAGGTTTCTGTGCAAGCGTGGATCAAGGATACTTGATGTACCTCACAGTGGGACTTTTGATCCTTTTTAATTTTGCAAGTGTCCCCACTCTACCTGCATGTATGCTCAGACATGTGCTTGTGGAAAATATTTTATAATTTGAAGTAAATTAAAATTTTGATGATTTAATGACACCTTTTGAGCTAATTGATAACTTGAATATTACAAAGCAAAAAAAATTATTGGTGATTTTTTTTTTTTTTTTGAGATGGAGTCTCGCTCTGTTGCCCAGACTATAGTGCAGTGATGCGATCTTGGCTCACTGCAAGCTCTGCCTCCCGGGTTCACGCCATTCTCCTGCCTCAGCCTCCCGAGTAGCTGGGACTACAAGCCACCTCGCCCGGCTAGTTTTTTGTATTTTTAGTAGAGACGGGGTTTCACCGTGTTAGCCAGGATGATTTCCATCTCTTGACTGTGTGATCCGCCTGCCTTGGCCTCCCAAAGTGCTGGGATTACAGGCGTGAACCAGCGCGCCAGGCCTGTGATATGTTAGAATTAAGTTCTACTCTCTAGAGAACAACAGCTCAAACAAGTTGGAAAGTTATTTCTGTCTCAGGGAAACATACTTGCAGGTAAATAGTCTAGGGCTAATGTGGGGATTCCTAACCTTCCAGGACCCAGCCTCCTATCTTGTCGCTTCACCATCTGCAACTGTAGCTTAAACATCATTGTCCAAAATGGTTATTTGAGCTAAAGCCATCACTTCCACATTTTAGACAGTAGAAAGGAAGAAGAGCAAAAAATATGCCCCCATTCTTTAAGGAAACATTCTAGAATTTAACCTCTTTTTGTCCTCATATTTCAGAACATAGACATGTGGTCACACTTAACTACAAGTGAGGCTGGAAAACACATAAGCCTATGTACCCAGTTCTCTTACTACAAAGGAGAGGAGAATATATATTGGGGAACCCCTGGAAGCCTCTTCTACAGGGACACAGACTCCCTTATGCCAATCCAGAGAAACCAAAGATTTATTGAGCATTTCTTTCAGGTGATTCTTTACTCACATAAATCTTAAGTGTATCATCTTAGCTACACTAACATTTGGGGGGTGGAAAAGAGTCCTTTCCAACTGATTCATACCATTATTTTACTGTGGAAGAGATACCTGAACTATATACTTCAGATGCCATTTTTAAAATCTGATGCCTAGGATAATAGGGTTAGTTACTTTTCCAGAAAAAAAAAAAAAAAAAAGGCATTCATAAAAGGCTTTTCTCTTGTCATTGCCCCAAGGTAAGTCAATTTCCTATCTGTTAATAGTTGTACAGCTAGTCTGTCTTTTTCAGATGTTATAAATTGACCTAAATGTTGTTTCCACCATGGAGGGTGCTAGAGGATGGAGTCAAACACCTTTGATTGTAGAGTCAGAGGGCCTCATCTGAGTCTTGATTCTGTCATTTACCAACTGCTGTATTACTTAGAAGAGTCATTGATGGTTTCGTTCCCCATCAATGACTATAAAAGTGGCACCTTGGTATTTTACCTCAGGATGATTGCTATGGATTAGATTAGAAAACTGTAACTTGAATGTCAAAATGAGTTAGTTCATTTCATCTCTCTCTTTGCCAGTCAAAACATCAGGCCCCAAACCTTTGACAGAGTCAGTCTACCCTGGGTCAAGCGTTCCTGTTTCTGAGGATACCTTTTTAGCTCATGAAATGTGTTGATTACATTCTTTATTACAACAACCTGATCTGTTTCCTTGGCGAGTGATTTGAAAAACACTTTTCATTTAACCTTTACTCAAGGTTTTTCTTGTTCTTTGAAGTGACGGTTGGTCTGTGAAGTTGGCTTAATGTCAAGGTCAGGTTATTCAATCAGAGCTGCTGAAGAATATGAACTTAAGATGGCTTTAGAGATAACCACTCATTCTAGTGCTCTATGTTCCTAAAAAATGGTCTCTGGCAGAGTGATATGGGAAGAAGGGGGCATCCTGCGAGACTCAAGTTCACAGACTTGACTTGGAGCTGGTTTTAGAAGTCAGGAAGGGGTCACTCACTGTTGGCTTACTCAGGGTTTCAGCAGTTGCTGGGTTTTTTTGTTATTGTTTTTTTGTGATTCTTGTGTGTGTTAGGGCCAGGTTTAGGGTAAAGAGTATTTCAGGCTCAGAAACTGGAGCTAGTAGTGCTGGGGTCACGTGCAGTGCTGCGCGGGCACAAAGTGTCAACCCCTGAATCTGGGCTTATAAAAAATTGAGTGAGTTTGGCATGAAAAATTAAGTGACCGGGTTGCTCCCTCTTTTTCCACTCCCATTTTGTTTTTTAACTTTGTTAAACTCAGGGGTGGGGTAACCATAATGCCAGGAAGGATGTTGGGGAGTTAGTGATATGGAAAGAATGGTCAGATGCTTTCCTTCATCCTTTGAATGCTCTTCCCTGCCCCTAAAAATATAAAGATTTAAAAATTATTATTATAGTAAACATCCTCTGGTACTCTTGTGTGTTTGTTTTTTATATTTGAAATTCAAATCCCTGTGGAATTATTTTAGAGTAAGTAGTGAAGTAGGGATGCAACTTTGCTTTTTCCCCCCATATGGTTAGTTGGTTGCCCAGCCCCATTTGGTGAGTCATCCATCTGTTTCCCGCTTTTTGACATGCTACGTTAACCATAGATACATCATTTTTGGCTAAAAAATTAGTTTTGAAGGTTTGGCAAATTCAAGACAAATTCTACAAAGGATCACCCTCATTTCTTCTAGTCAGCTGAAGTGGTGCCCTCAGGTAGTAACAGTCTTAAAAACACAGTTTACATTTGCTGTACCAGGTTTCAGATTGTGTTATTCTTGATGAGTTTTTACTGACTTTATTAATAGTCTTCTTTCCTTTTAAATAGACAATACTAATTTACATAAAATGCTCCTGCTTTTTAGTTATTCCACGTATATACTTAGATGTATTCCCCCTTTTTGGTGTGTATATTCATCTACCTGTCTAATCATGCATTGTCAGCACACTGTTTCTATTAAGATAATTGTATAATGTTCTAATAGTTCAGGGTACTGCTCTACCAATAGGGAAGTTGTATTAGGTCATCTCATGCTCCTATTAAAGACATACCAGAGACTGGGTAATTTATAAAGACAAAGAGGTTTAATGGACTCACAGTTCCACATGGCAGGTGAGGCCTCTGGAAACTTACAATCATGGCAGAATGGGAAGGAGTAGCAAAGGCATGCCTTACATGGCGGCAGGCAAGAGAGCATTTGCAGGGGAACTCCCCTTTATAAAACCATCAAATCTCGTGACACTTATTCACTATCACGAGAATGGCAGGGGAAAAACCCACTCCCATGATTCAATTACCTCCCACCAGGTCCCTCCCACAACACCTGGGGATTATGGGAGCTACATTTCAAGATGAGATTTGGGTGGGGACAGAACCAAACCGATCAGAAGTAAAAAGAGTGGAAAAGGAGAGCAAACAATTCCTTTGTACACATCATTTTCACTCATGTTCCAATGATGTCATATGGCCATACCTGGCTGCAAAGGAGTCTGGAAACTGCATTCCCTAGTTGTGTGGCTATGTGTCCAGCTAAATTCTGTTCACAAGGAAGATACCAAGGTTCAACATACTCTGGTGGGACACTTTTCACTTTAGACAAATGTCTAAATATAAATCTTAATTGAAGTAGGCTTGAAAAATAGATAAAAGATTAAAGAGTTTTAATTACTTGAAGAAAATAAGGGTTTTGTTTAAATGCAAACATTTATGCGCTGGGCAATATATGATTAGAGAGTGAAACACTGGCACATTATAAGGGACCAGTAGAATTTCATAGAAGTGTTGACAATAGAAATTTATTTTTGCCCAGTCTGCTCCATCTAAGTTGTTGACTTGAAGATATTGTGTGTTCAGATTAGAATGACAGACGAAGCTTACATATTGTTTCTGTCTTTTCGTGTCTGATGCTCAAATTAAAATTGGGTGAGTGCGCTCCTTAGTGGTTGTAGTTTGGTAATACCACTGATTTGTGTGTGTGTGTGTGTCTGTCTGTGTCTGTGTGTGTGTGTGTGTGTCTGTGTCTGTGTTTAGTTTTAGTTCAACTCGGCCACTTCCAGTTGAGATTAATAAGGCCAGTTATTCACTTAAAGTACCTGTATCCATCAGGCTGTGTGGCTAAGGCTAGATCTGTCAAAACGTAAAGCTAGAATATGCTTCCATAACTATGACAGTATCTCAGCACTTCAGAAATTATAGAATTTGAGAGTTTGAAAAGGAAAATAGTTATCTGGTCAGACACTATCAGTTGGAAGGAGTAGCTGTCTCTGCCAGAGTTTAAAAATGGCAGAGAGGATTTTATATACCACTTCAGCTTGCATTATCATCAGAGGAGTCAGACATTGTGTTCTGGTGATGAAGGCATTTCAAAAGTTTTCTTTTCCAAATACCAGTCTCGTGATTTAAAAACTAAATAGCTACATCAAATTTCATATTGTTACTCAAACCTTTTAATGTCCTAGTTGGTGAAATAACAATTCCGTTTCATACAATTGAATTAATTATAACTGTGATTTCTTGAATAATTCCGTATTTGATTATTTTGAATTAAAAATGCTCACAGCATCTTAACAGTATAGAAGTATAGTCAAATGCCCTTCTATTATTTTTGCTACTAATGCATATTCCTTGCCAGAAATAACAAATGTTAATACTTTACTGTAGCCTGGGGTGGTGGCTCACACCTGTAATCCCAGCACTTTGGGAAGCCAAGGCAGGCAGATCACTTGAACCCTGGAATTCGAGACCAGCCTGGGCAACATGTTGAAGCCCTGTCTCTACAAAAATTATACAAATTAGCTGGGCATGGTGGCACATGCCTATATTCCCAGCTACTTGGGAGGCTGAGCCCAGGAGGTCAAGGCAGTGAGGCATGAGCGAGCCACTGGGTTCCAGCTTGGGTGACAGAGCGAGACCTTTTAAAAAAAAAATAGTTTATAGAATTAACATGCATATGTGCTCACAAACATGGGTACACATGTGTACATTTTTTAAAACATAAATTAGATCATGCCACCCATTATTCTGTGACTACATTTTTTAGTTTAACCATATATTTCAGACTTCTTTCCATGTCATTACATTATTTTATCTGATAAGGTTGTGTGTATTTTTACACCGTTTTTCTTATGTCATCCTGGAGAAAGATGCATAGAATTAAATCCTTTTAATATTAACATACAGAGTTAAAAGTATACCCCAAGTATTGGTTCTCATCCTTTTCCTTTGAAAAAGGACAAAGGTCCTTTTTCAGATTTTCTGTGAAGGCCATTGGAATGCCTAACTCGTAAGTTGAGTGTAGTTTGAATATTTGGAAATTGAACTAATAATAATCCCAACTTTATGAGTGTTAATGCTTCTACATATTTGAAGTTATAATTAGTTAATAAGACATAATTTGAACAGATTATTTTGGATAGCTGATATATAATCAATTCATAGGAATTTAAGAAAGAAGTTTTTTGTGTGTGACCTCAGGTTCACTTTTCCTTTTAGTTACATTCAAACTAGATTTGGTTTCACATTTTCTTAGCTCTTTTAAAAACATTATCAAAAAATTAAGATTAATTTCCCTATGCTCATATATTATTATTTTATAATCTGAATTTTCTGGGATGGAGTTGTAATTCTTCTGACAATCCAATAAATTTCTGTTGTGTTCTGTGAGCTTACAAGTCCACTAGAGGGTGCATTTTACTCTTTTTTGACACAGACAGAAATTTAAGGCCATAATTTTGTTTCACTTTCACAGAGCTAGTTGGGTTAACAACTTTGGAAAGCAAAGTCCCTTAAATTCTTAAACATGGACACCAGGAAACTATCATACAAAAACACAATTCACTGATATAAAGCAATCATATGCCTATTAAAATAGTGGCCTTACCAGTGAATGTTATAGTAGGATGCAGAAGAGAGTACAGTGGGGTGGGGATGTCTAGGGAAGCTTCAAGGGCAAGATGGGATCTGTAATGTTCAAACACCTGGTGA